AGAATGAAAAAAATCTTATTTCGTATTTTCAGGGCCAGCTACAGGTAACTGACGCAGCGTGGCGTCGCCGTGCGAGCTCTGTAGCGAGAGTAAATGACAGCCGCAAACAATTTGTTGATATAGTGTGCTTTTTTACTATACCGAAATACTGTACGGGATACGAGGCCTTACCACGTAGCGGTACCGCACGCACTTTACCTTCCTCGACCACACGCAACACGCCCTCTAACATGGAAATAAAGATATGATGAGCTCAGTTTCCGCGATCGCATCGCATTTTCGACCGAAATTACATGTCGTATTTCGTGAAAACCGATGCTCGGCAGTTCGAGTTTGGTGTGAGTGCCCAAGCAACGACGGCGCAAAACAAACTGGTCGCAAACCAGTTCGAGATCCATCGTCAACTGTGGCAGCCAGTCTTACGGTCCTTGGAGCTTTGGAACTCCGCGATGTCACGTGAAGTATTTGGGCAATTCTGCCGCCACCTCGAAAAATGGAAAATGGATTTGCGCGTATTTGCGCCACGTGCAGCGTCGGAAACGACATGTACGTCGTTCAAAAAGGGTGTGGAGATGTACACACGGCCGCTACGTGGCGCTGGCGCGTCTGTGGGCTGCTACTCGTCGTTGTGCTGAATGGTGCTCACACTATTTAAGACGAGGTCGTTCGTGAACTGATATCCGGGGTTTGTCCGGATACGGATTCCACGTGCTGGAGTGGTATCGGTCCTCAACGTCGTAGACCCAAGCATTCGCATGCTGCAAGAGACCGCAGCGGTCGTTGCAAGCGCTTAGCTGGTGAACCAATGCCTTGAATTGAAGCGATGAGTGACGAAAAAAGGCCACACGAGTTTCACCGTCCACCGTCGACAGGACGCCTAGTTGCGACCGCCCTGCCGTGCAATGCGGTGCCGTGCGACCGAGGCCCTCGAGCGCGAATTGCAGAATGAGCAGCGCTCAATGTTTTTCAGGTTCTCTTGTAAAAGCACTGCGTTTCGTCTTTGTCGTGCTCGTTTTTACACTTGTTTTTACATGACTGAACGTTTGCGCGGAAATGGGACCTTTTCCGAGTGCCACGTCATAGAAATCGACTGTTTTCAAACGTTGTGAATATCTCATCTCTGGTTAACGAGGACGCATATGTACCATCACACAAGTGATACTACAAGACATGAAATCGTCGTGATTGCGGAAGAGAAGCGCAGGACCGAGCATGGTAAGCTCTAAGCCTCTCGTTGCAATCGCTCCACAGCATGCGATGGCTTTGGACGTACTGTTGCCATGAATATCGATACGGTGAAAGGGGCGCTCGTCGTTACTACAAGTCTAGAAGACAAGACGATGGCGTGCCAATGCGGTCATTTGCTTGTTTTTTTAGCGCTTTGTATCTTCGATCTGGCATTGCGCGCGCTGTGCGACTGTAGCGGCTACGTAGCGTGGTCTGCTCTGCTCTCCAAAGTGTATTCTATCAATGTGCCAACTATGGGCGATTCCATTTCAAACTCGATGTTGTCGACAAGTGGCGTCGACGCCTTGCCGTGGCGGCTATAAGATGGCACTACGATCTTAGTTTGAAGTGCGCCGCGCGTCTCAGATGGCACTACGATCTTAGTTTGGAGTACATGTACATCTTGGATCGCGTCTCGCTACCGCTGTACGCCTCGGACGTCGACGCGACCTAGCAGTTTTGGCGATTTC